ATTCTATATCCCCCCCTCAAACTGAACTGTTCATTAATAGCACTTATCCCAAGTAATAAAGAAGACAGAGTATCTTCAAAGTCGAATATTAGTAACACCCCCAAAAGGCTTGGTCCCAAGCTACTGCTGCCATTTGCAGGGGTGAGGAAGTTGTGTTTGGAAACTTAAAAAGTGAAGCTATGGAGAAGTAGGTTGGGGATGGGGTAGGTTATGGCAGGAATGGGCTGAATCTTGCCAAGCCCCCCACTTTTTTGTCCAACATGAGGTAAATAGCCTCTGCCACGCCATTCTCTGACTATAAGACTTGAGAAGCAACAGATCCAAGATCAGGGATAGCAATTGCAATGTAAAAAAGTTTGTGCTCCCTGCTTGTCGGTTATTTTCTAACAGTGACATAGAAAAAGGATTTAATTTTTAACATTTAGATACTGTTTCCAAATAGCTTAGAAATAATAGTCTCAGAATTTTTTTGGCCTTTAGCTCTTTTCAATTACCTGAGATTTTTAAAATCATGTAGTTATTAGTTCTCATTGTTTTGAGAATGCCTAACTGGAGTGGGAAATCATTATAGTGAAAGTAAAACCATTACCAACAAGTCTTCACTTGTTGGAACTTTAAAGGGCCATTTAAAATATATTCAATAATAACCACAAAACTCAAACCAAAAAACATGCCTTATGGTTGAAGAAAAGCATCAAGAGATTGTAAAAGAACATATTCTTTGCTTTAAATGAAAGCATTAGGACCATAAGGGATGTATGCATCCTTAATATTTTTTTTCTAATGAAAATACAATTTCTTTTGTTATACAAGTGAGGCCTCATTAGATCTTCATGCTCCAGATACCTTAGACAGCAACAATAAGCCAAAGCATGGCATTTTATACTTGGAAGCAGACATACCTCAATTATAGCAATTCTGAGATTAGTAGCATGTGTTACTTTATTCTAGAAGATTTTAACAATACTGGGAATGGAACCCAGGGTCTCATGCTTGCTTGGTAAGCATTCTATCATAAGCCTGCATTTAAAAATGTGCACTCTGGTTAGCTAAATCTGGGAACTGCGATTTAAACCTTCCTTTGGAAATTATATTCATGCAAGCATGGCAGTAACGTTTTTGAGGCATTGCCTTCATAAGCAAACCAAAGTTATAACTGGGGGATGGAGCTATGGCTCGGTGGTAGAGTGTTCGCCCTATGTTGGAAATACCCTGAGTTTGATCTCCAATACTGAAAAAAAAAAAAAAAAAAACAAACAAAAAACAAAAAACAAAAACTCAAGCTTGGTTAAATCTAGTGTGTTGCCATAGCATGTGACATGAACACTGTTAACAGAAAATGTCAATTTGGAAAACCATGGTATTTTCAAATTCCTTGAGGCTGAGCATGTGCAAAGCCCCTAGGTTTGACTCCTTCCCAGCACCCCAAGAAAAAAGTTTACAATGGGTTAGGAGTGCAGGCTTGTGGTGGAATCTTAGGAAGCATTCAAGACTCCTGATTTCCAATTCCAGTACTACTAAAACAAAACAACAAACAGAACAAAACAAAACAAACAGTAACACCACAAACACACAGCAACTGAGGACTAGAGAGCTCACACCTGGTTAGCAACAAAAGCCAGAACTTTGAACCTTAGCCCTCAATCCTCAGGCTACAGTTGTTTCTACTATTTAGATTATAAAACAGGACTCCCGACAACAGTTAAACAATTAGTAAACATTTGGGTGATGGTATCTATCAAGTTTTCTGGTTTGTGTTTACTTCAGTGTTTTTAATTCTTTATTAAAAATTGGGTCCCCATAAGGAGGAACACCTGGAGATTTGCTCCCCCCTTTTGCAATTCTGAGGAATGACAAAGTTTAACTAAAAGCAATCATCATAACAAGGCATTCAGACTACCTGGGCTATAATCTACCTGTAACTTCGGTCAGCTTAACGAAATCAAAGCGTTGATGATCAGTTGGGTTACCTGGCACATAATGACGCCCCATGTTATTCATAAAAGTCATACTAACATGAACAAATACAAGCAACCTTAACATGACAAGACCTTAACACCTACACAAAGGGCCAGAACTACCAAAAAGAAAAAGTGTTTGCTCCACAGTTCAGAACTATAACATGAGGAAGATTCCTGTGTTTTTCTAATCACCAAAAACATGTGTGTTTTGACGACAGCCTCTAAATCTGGCTTTTCTTCAACTCCACAGAACCCTGAGATGATGTAAGATTAAACAGAACACAATTTGCTTGGCGAGGAAAAAGTACAGTTGCCTGCTCTATCCCTCCCCATCAGGGTAAGGAGGGGTGAAGCGGGTTGAAGTGTGGGTATGGTGCAACTTTCAAAGCCAAGGGAATCAAAGGTGAGGACTGTTAACAACTTCCGTGTGCCGGCCCGACTTCCTCCTGGAGAACTTGGCTCTGCTTCCTGACCCTCTGCACCTGCACCTCGGCGGGCCTCGGCATCCCCACAACCATAAAGGGACCCACCGGACAGGCAACAGGGTGGCTGGAAGCCTCCAACAAAGGGGCCGGGCGCCCGCACCGGCTCTGCCCGCCGAAGGAGGCGGACGGACAGGCCCCGGGGTCCCACCGCTCGCCCGGGTCCCGGCCCCGCTGGCCCTCCCGCGGCGGGCTCGGGTGGGGGGCCGGGCGGGGACACCCCGACGCCACCGTCTCAGGTCGGCCCGGGAGAGGCCCGACCGAACCACGCCGCGCCGCGCCTCGCCGCGCGACCGCGCCGGGGGCGGGGACGCTGTTACCTGCCGCGGGCTCTGCCGCTCCCAGCCGGCGCCGCTCTCTTGGCAACCACGGCCGCCGCACGAAGGCCGCCAGCGAGGGCCTAGTGACAGCTACCAGCGTGCACCGCGCGCGCCCACGCCGGCGTCGACGTCGGCGGCCTCGGTCCCGCCCCTCGCCACCCCCTCCCAACCCCCGACCGCTGCTCGGTGGCGCCACAGCGCCCTCACGCGGGCGGTCGTGGGGGCGACCGCGAGAAGGCCGGAGCAGCCAGAACCCTCCTTTTGATGGATCCGGGGAAAGGCAGGACAGTTTTGAAGTGTGGCTGAGCCAGAGGATGCACCAATACTTTATTCGAGTATTTATTCAAACTCTGTGTAGAACTGAGTGACACTTTAGCATATATTAGCATATATCTAGATTTCTTTCAAACGTACAGTTACCCCAAAGGCTTTTTTGTCTGGAAAAATTTATGTGTTTCGGTGTGAACAAGTTTTAAAGGAGCCTGCTATTCTGAGAATGCTGTGCATTTCACTATGTGCCAGCATTTAAGCATTTTACACTCCCTAAGTGTTAGAAGTGGAAGATGACAATCGCCCTTCAAATAAATGAGTTGACACCAAATAGTAATTACCTTTGTTTTTTTTCAAAGATTATTTACGTGTATTTTCTGTGTGAGAGTTCCTGCAGGTATGTATGTGCATGACTGGAGCCCAGAAGAAGGGGTCAAACGCCCCGGGGTGACAAGCAGTTATGAGGGGAGGGATTTGAGTGCTGGACACCTAGCTTCCCGGTCCTCCGAAAAGAGCGGCAAGTGCTCTTAACTGCCGAGCCAACTTTCCAGCGTCCAGCTTTTATTTTGTAAGCCATCACCCCCACCCACCTATGATTACAAATTGTTGGGAAGAAACAGAAATTTATGCTGCAACATGATAAACTTTAAAACAGCTCAATGGCAGGTATTAGGAAGCTTGTCTGAAGTTATATTTCTCAATATATTTAAAGACCACTTAATTTTGAGCTAGTGTCTTGCCACATAGCCCTGCACTCACTATATAGCCCAAACTGACCTAAATGCTGAGATTACAGATATGCACTATTATCCTTGGCTTAAAGAACTTACTTAGAAATTTGTTTGGTATGGGGTTAACTATATGACTTTGAAATGGAATATCAACAAACAGGATTTCTATCCTGGCCAGTTTTATGCCAACTTGACACAAGCTTAAAGGCATCTGAAAGGAGGGAACCTCAATTGAGAAAAATCCAGCTGTAATGCCTTGTCTTAATTAGTGGTTGACGAGGTAGAGCCAGCCCATGGGATAGTCCAGAGCTTTCCCAGGCTGGGTTTCATAAGAAAGCAAGCTGAGCAAAGCCATGGAGAGCCAAGTCAATAAGCAGGACCCTTCATGGCCTCTCTCTGCACCATCTTCTGCCTCCAGGTTTCTGCCCTGTTTTGAGTTCCTGTCCTGACATCCTTCAGTGATAAACAGTGCTGTAGAAGTGTAAGCTGAATAAACCATTTCATCCCAAGTTTCTTTGGTCATGGTGTTTCATCACAACAACAGTAACATTAAGAATTTCCTTTGTCTTATACAAGCTATCGTTTTAAAGGACAGCCTCTCATTTTTAAAGAAGTCCTATTCAAATTCTATGGCCTGACATACTTATTTAAGCCTTTATCCTTTACTGTGTCAGACTTTCAAGATGTATCTTGTAATAGCGATGGAATTCTGACTTCTGAGTTCTATTTCTGCAGTATAATGGGAGTGTATATAAGCAATCGCCCATTTTCTTTTTGCGCTCAAAAATTATACGAATGATTAGTCCTGCAAACTCAAGATACTCGACTCCATCCACCATCTTTTCATGGCTTACAGAGACCTTACAAGCTTTTGCAACTGTTTCAGTCTTGGAACTACCATGTCTGCGGCAAAATGCAATGCCCAATTCATCTTTGACATTTTGGTTGCACCAGACGGAAGCAAATAAACGGCTCTAGTTCCAAAAAAAAAAAAAAAAAGGGACACGCAGATAAAGTGGGCTGTGGGCAGGTAATTCAGATCTGGACCTTTGGAAAGCTCCCACCCGTACAGCCTCTGCTTCATTATCTACCTCATCTCTACCCAAGCCCCGCAGAGGAGTGCGTCCACCGGCCCAGGAGCTGGGGACAGGTGTGCTCCAGGGCCGGGCGCCTCGGCAGCGCGAACTCTGCCCGGAAGGCGGCGCTGTAGCCGGCAGAGCCCGCCCGGCTGCCTGGGAGCCGGCTGCACGTGCTCCCACTCCGCTCCGGTTCTGCTGGCCGCGTGCTCGCTCGGTCCCGCGTGGGGCCCCGAGGCGGCCATGGCGGTGGTTGCGGCGGAAACGCGCGTGTTCCTGGAAGTGCGGAGACGGCTGCAGAGCGCGCTGCTGATCCTGGGGTAAGGGAGGAGGCGGCGGCGGCGGGCGCGACCGCGTGCGTGAGCCGCGCGCGCGGCGCAGGAGCGCGGCTGCGCGGGGCCGAGGGGCCGAGCACGGGGCGGTGTGCGCGTGCGCGGAACGGGATGCGGGAGGCGGATTTAGATGTTTTTTGTTTGCCTGGCAAGCGCTTTAGCTTGCAAACCTTGAATTTCGTATTTACTGCACAAACAAGAACCTTTTAACGGGAAAACACTCCTTTTTGCTTATGGTCAGCAATCTTAATGGCCTGTGATCCCTTCGTAGCTTTTGCCTTGTTCTTTGTAATAAATGTTCCAAAATAATTTAGATCTGAAAATTCACTGCAGAGCAGCACAGCTCTATTTGTTTGTTTGTTTGTTCGATTGGTTGATTTGGCTTTTTTGGAGACGGGCTTTCTTTGTGTAACCTTGTCTGTCCCGGACTCGTTTTGTAGATCAGTCTGGCCTCGAACTCCCGTCTGCCTCTGCCTCCCGAGTGCTGGGATTAAAGTCGTGTACCACCATGCCCAGCGTTTGTTTTTTTTTTTTTTTTTTTTTTTTTTTTCTTTTTCTTTTTCTTTTTCTAAGCTTTTCTTCTTTTCCTGAAATCTGCCAAGTAGCTAGAATGGCAGTTTGGGATATGGCCTGAGAACTGAATTCAAATCTGAGCTTCCCCACAGGATAGAATAATTTTACCCGAATTTCTTCACTTTTAAGATTGGGATTGAAGCCGGGCCTGTTGGCCCATGCCTGTAATGCTAGTATTTGTAGAGACAGAGGCAGGCGGCTCTCTGTGAGTTTGAGGCCAGCCTGGTCTACAAAGTGAGTCCAGGACAGCCAAGGCTACAGAGAGAAACGTTATCTTCAAAACCAAAAACAAAACAAACAAAAGATTGGGACTGAGCCCAGGGTCAGTGTAATAATTCAATTTGCCTAGCGTATACAGGCCTTGAATTCTTTCCCCAGGATGGGGGTGAAGGCTGGGGAGATAAAGGAGTTCGGTCATAAGTTCGATCTTACAAACTTAATGAAATTTGAAGAAATATCTGCAATTTCAACCTTGTTCAGTAATTAATAGTACAAACATTATCAAATACATCTCCTTAACCCCCGTACAAAACAAACTCTAAGCAAGGTGAGAAACCTTGCTAGACTTTATATCTGTCCCTCTGGTCTTTTGACTGCCGATCTCTGACACCACTCAGTTCCCTTGCTCTAGTAACAACCATGGTCTGGTCTCATTCATCCGTTCCACACAATGCCACTGTTTCTTGAACTGCGTTGACATGTGTATCGGTCGGTGTTCTCTAGAGTAACATAATTTATTGAATGAATCTCTCTGTTATGAAAAGGGATTTATTAGGAAGACTTACAGGATGCAGGATGCAGTCCAGCTAATCCAACAATGGCTACCTAAGGGTCCTGTTATGCTGGTTGGATGTCTCCGCTCATCTTCAGTATGCTTCAGAATCTCAAAGAAGTAGGCTCTGATACCAGTGAAGGGATGAATTAGCCAGTGAGAGCAAGGGCAAGCAGGCAAAGAGCTTCCTTCTTCCTTATATAGGCTTCCAACAGAAAATATGGCCCAGATTTGAGGCAGCTTTTCCCAGCTCAAAAGATCTGCATGAAGGCATGTCTTCCTACCTCAGAGGTCAGGATTAGAAGAAATGAATCTGCCTACTTCGAATTAAGCAAAAGCCCCTCGCAGGTGTGCTCCCTATTTTTATTTTTTAATTAATTCCAGATGCATTGAAGTTGACATAATGTCATTTCTATCTGCTTTGCCTGGCATGTTTTCTGTTGCTCTTGTGTTTTGTGTTCTTGACAGTGCCTAACAATGCATTCGTGGCTGGTCTAAGTTACTAGGTGAACCAGGCTGACTTTGAGATCTGCCTGCCTCTGCCTTCACATTACTGGGAACCTTCAACAAGGGTTTGAGATTCATGTTTCTTCTGTGTTGTTGATTTATTAGTATTCCTTTTTTGTTTCTTACTGAGTAATTTTCCATTGTCTGAGTATTCCGCAAACCACTTGCTTATTCTGCTATTGCTGGATGTTTTATTTCCAGAAAGGGTTTATTATGAGTCAGCTGTACTAGCGTCATAGTGTAAGATGTGTGTGCATGTGCTTGTGTGTGTGTATGTGTTGTTGGAGCTAGGCAACTGCATTTGCCACTGAGCCACACCCCCAACATATGTCTTTTTATGACATACATACCCTTGGATTAATACCTAAGGGTGAAATTACTGGCATGTAGGATAGAGGTGTCTCATTGCTTTGTGAGAAACTCTCAAATAGTTCTCCAATGTGGTCATTCTCTTTGGTTTGAGCTGTTCTGATGGAGATGAGGAGGTATCTCATGGTGGTTTTAATTTCCTTGTTGGCTTACAGTGTTGAGAACTTTTTCATCGCCTTTTTGATAATCCAAGTATTTGTGGATGTGTGTCTTGTAAAGCGTCTTATGGTTTCTAGCTAATAAAAACAGGTTAATCTTGCTAAGTTGAAACATTGCTTTATGGTAGAATGCTGTGTGAGTATGTGCATGTCTTTTGGCACTGGTCCACATTTTCACTTTCCTAATGCAGGTTGGGTATGACTTATTGGAAAAGGTCTGGGTGGACCTGAAATGTTTCAGATTTTGGACTTTTCTCGAGTTTGTAGTATTTGCATAGATTTTTCTTGTTGAGTGTCCCTAATCTGGAAATTCAAGGTATCTTTCTTTTTTCGGTCATTCTGGCTTTTTGGCTTAGGGATACTCAGTATGTTCTGTCTTTTGATGAGCAGAGAAATTTTAATCTTAAAATATAGTTTATCAATTAGTTTTGAACAGCCTTTTCTAATGTCTTAAATCTTTGCCTACCTCAACTTTGTGAATACTTTCTGTTATGGAAAATAAAAAAAAAGCTAATAATGTTTATTATTAAAACCTGTAATTATCATGATGGTATCATTTAACTCACTATCAAATCAACATAAGACACAGGCACCTGATAGATTTTAGAGAAGCCTTATTTTATCTGGGCCTGGGCAGATATTAACTCCCTAAACCATCTTTACCTCCCAGCTCCCGTCCCATGCCAGTTGCTTTAAACATTTCTATCTAGGCTTCTTCCCATCCGTAATCCCATAAATACTTGCTTATTCTTCTCATCTGGGCAGCTTTCCTCCACCCATGACAATCCAGCCGAGTGCTTCTCTCCACACTAAGCCATGGTGGCCTTGCCTCCTCTCTCCCCTCTGGTACCCTCTCCTCCATTCTGTGATCCTTCCTTCCCTAAAGCCTTCAAACCTTAGCTCCACCCCTACCTTCTGCCCTGCTCAGGTGTAGGCCTTTTATTCAGCCAATCGGGAACAATTTCTTAGGCAAGGTGACAAATGTCATTTTGGAGTATGTGAGAGTCTGCTCACATGAAAGACAGCAAACAGACCTTGGGGAGCAAAATAATTAATGTTAGAATATATAGCACTGCCCCCCCCCCCCCAAACAACTTTCATCCGAGATTTCTTTTATCTATGTCTTTATTTAACAGATGGGTTTTGTTGTGCTGGTCAGGCTGCTTTTGAACTCCTGGGCTGAAGGAGCCATCTGCTTGCCTCAGGCTCAGTCTCTGGGACCATATGCATGTCTGAGACTGTGCTCAGCTTTCCTGCATTTGTTTTCTGGGAGTGTTACCACTTTTGTTTCGTTTCTGTCTCTGACACATTGGATTGATTTTCCTGTTTACAGTGAAGTATGAGTCAAAGCTTATTTTGTTATATATAGATATCTAGTTGGTCTGTGGCCCTTAATTACTACCGTAATTTTTCTCATTGGCTAGCTCAGAATCTGTATCAGAAATCAGTTCACTGCACCGTCCTTATACTTTAAGCCTGTGTCTTTATAAATATCCCTCCCTCTCCAGGGAAAAATGAGACAGATGAGTGTTTTTGTCAAATAAATTTGACAATCTCTGTGTATCCACTAGAATTTTTAGTACTTTTATTTATTGATATGGGTGAGGTTGATTCCTCATCTTTTATTTAATTAATTTTGTTTTTTCGAGACAGGGTTTCTCTCTGCAGTCCTGTGTGCCATCCTGGAACTTGCTGTGTAGACCAGACTGGCCTCATACTCGAGTGCTGGGGTTAAAGACGTGATGAGGCATCATCAGTTTGGCTTTTATTTTGCATTGTCAGAGAGCCAGATGAAGGAGGAGGGATGCAGCTGGACTTCACTGTGACTCCGACCTCGCTCTTGCTGAGAACCCCTGACCGCTGCACCGAGATCCGGCTTCCAGCAGGGGTCAGGCTTGTACCTTCCTCGTGCCGCGGGCTGCAGTATGTCGGTGGAGATGGTTTGCACCTGCGCCTGCAGGCCCAGGCCGAATCTAGCCCACGTGAGTAGGAGCAGCACCCCTGAAGGGGGTTGACATTGGTTTAGTTGAACTCTTCCCAGGTGAAAAGATTGGCAAACAGGACCTGGAAGGGATAAGGAGCAGAGAAGTTCCAGGGTCTCCAATCGGCTCTGCCAGTTACCTACTGTGTGCCGTGAAATATGTCACTTACCTTTCCCGAACCTTTACGCTTTCAAGTATATGTTTAAGACTATGCCTTGATTTTTAGAGCATTTTTAGTCTTGTGGCAAACTTGAGCAGAAGGTACAGAGAGTTTTTTTTTTCCCCCAAACCACCCAGTTCATTTTTTCTTTTAATTCATAAATGTCGGGCTCACAGAGATGAGAATAAAATCAAAATTTGGTTGGTTTAGAAGCATTGCGTCGATACGTGCTCATTCAGCAGACTAGTTAGCTCATACTAGGCGGGAGCCGTTCGGTACGGGAACACAGACGCCAAGACGCCACAAAGGCTTCTGCAGTTGTGCGGTGTACATCCTGATGTGGGGGAACAGCAGACGCTGAGCAGATAATTAAGCTGCATATAGCAAAAATGCCGTGGGCAACGTAAACAGAGCATTGCACGCGAAGGACCCGGCGTTTCGTGTGAAGCGTCATGTAGCGTTGTTGTCGGATGGTTGCAACCGCACCGTTTGTGATTGTATACAAACTCAAAATGCATATGGATGCAGCTAGGTGGTGAAACCTTTTCTTTCTGTAAGCGCTCCTGAATTGTATTTTGTTATTATTGTTCTTTTAAATTCTGGCTCATTGCCCCTTACAATGTGGATGCGCTATAGGCAAGGAAAATGCTGTGGAAAGGGAAAACAGCGTTGAAAGACACTATTGATGCTTCAGCGCAGAGGAAGACTTTTCTTGTTTCCATTGCCCCCTCAGGCCTCAGTGCTGAACTGTTCGTAATAAGCCCTTCATCAGAGCTATGTGGAGACTGGAGGTGCGGCCGGCCACATTGTCCCACGAAGCCTGTAAGAGGTGTAAAACCATCTCCTGGCTTTTAGGCAAGGGGTGTGTGTGTGTGTCATCCATTCTTTTGCCTGAGGGTAATTTTGCTAGTGTTCCGGATTAATGAATGGCCGAAGTATGCAGAATCGGTTTTAGAAACAAGGGGCATCATGTTTGAGTGTCGTCGGAGGAACCTAGAATGACACGGAATCCTGAAAAGCAGGATGAGGCTACTGGGGTGGGAAAATAGGCAAAGTGCCTCCCTGACTGTACCCCTGTTCTGGGAAGGAGGTATGCCCGCGTGGATCTTTGATGTCATCACTTTCCCTGTTAGCACAGTAACCACAGCAGGATCTTCCTGCTGAGTTTAGAAACCGGCAGAGCCTCCGTGTTCTCTGGGGCTCTGACAGTAAAGATAGAGGAATGGAGACATCCAGGGACACAGTATTTGGGTTTGTTGCCTACTCATATTCTGTAACTGAATTTTTATTTTTATTTTTAACATTTTCAGTTAATGAGCAACATTTAATACTAACTGTGGACAAAGTAGATCCGCTGCAGTGTGCTAGTCTGAATATTGTTTGTGTTTGTTGGACTATTTTTTTTTTTTTGTGTGTGTGTGTGTGTGTTTTGAAACATTTTGTTCAAATACCTGAAGAGGGAACTTGCAAAGCCTGTTCTGTGGTGCATGAAAGGCTGTGCAAAGCAGATTCCTCCTTCTTTAATTGCTTTAGTGCTTTCTGCATAATAGGTGGGGAATAAGCATTTGCCGCATGAATGATGATCAGGTAGGTGAGTACTGGTGTGCACTGAAATCTAAGTATTGTAGGATAGGAAGTAACTTTTGACAATTTTAGCGTTCAGTTGTGTCTCAGGGTTGTAAAAGAGTTGCCTTTTCAACTGTAAGACCACGCTTTCAGAGCAATCCTGATACACCTCAGCCCAGCACGCTGTTTTGAGGTGAACGTAGGTGAAGTGGTCACCATCGGTATGTGGGGAAATGACCTAGTGTGTTGCTTCTTCCTGGGCAGCCATGCTCAACCGGGATTCAGCACTTGATCCAGTGGCCAGCAGAGGGCAGTGTCCCACTGAAAACCGATTAGTTCTGAAGCGTATGTTGGAGGGCTCATCTAGATCATCTTTGTAGCATTAGAGAAGAGAATAATACTGTTTATTTAACCTTTGTGAGCAGGAGGGATTTGTAGAGACACTTAGAGATTAAACCGAAGAATTTTTTAATTGCCAGGACTTAAACTTTCTGAAAAAGCGTCTTAAGCATACATACAAAGTAATGGCAAGGGAGAGTTCTGTTGCTTACTTCTAATAATTATGACCTCATTACTTCAATCTCGTTTTTTATAGACTAACAATACAGTGTTTTTTTTAAAATTAAAATTTCCTTCATTCATAAATCAAACAGCAGAAATGAGGGGAACAGCTAACCAACGCAACTGGATGGGAAATCCACATTTTCTCCCACAGCTCTCTGTATCTCTACCTACCCTGCCTACCCATCTCCCACAGCTTCATCAGACGGTGAGGAGACTCTCAGGAGCTTTGTATTTCTTGGACCTGCTCCACAAAGACCAGTCTGGCCGTCCACTTTGCTTGCTCATACTGTTTAACGTGCAGGGGTGGGCACAGAACCTAAACATAAAAAAAAAAAAAACGAAAAAGCCAGATTGAATGTAGATTTTAGCAATCCATCTCCACTCATTGTTAATATAGAATTTGTTGCATTTATAGAACGAGAGGAGGAAACTCACCAGCATGTTACATGGTAATCTAGGGCAACGCCTGGCTCAGGAATCCTAAACAGAATCTGTTGTTTTTGGAAACACTTCACAATGTTTGCTTCTGGTTGAGTCATCGGGTAGTGCTAATGAAGCCTATCCTTCCAAGTAAATCATAAACAGTGTGTATTGTTGGTGATGTATTGTGCTAGCAAACCCTTTAACTGTGGTTGTAATACGTTAGCTCCAAACCTCTAACACCGGTTGCTTCATTATTCCCTTTAGAACTGATACCAGTATTTAATCGAAGCCTGCAAGCCCAAGCACGGTGCACATTTTACTGCCAGTCCTGCGGCGACATCACGATAAAGGACAGGTAAGGAGTGCTCCTGGCACTAATCACACTGTGCCCGGTGATGGTTTCTGGGAGTGATTTCCCAGGGAACGGTAGAGGGCCCTAAAATAAGAGCCAGCTTAGTGTTGCTTTGAACAAAGTGGACCCTGACTCTCACCATGACGGTGGAGCCGAGCCGATCGGGAGTGTGGTCTTAGGGAGGAAGCTGGTCTTGGTGGAAGACCGCTGAGCCATGGGCTCCGTCCCTCATGTGTCCCTTTTGCTCTGATGGTGTGGGAGGGTTTCCACCATAGGTGAATTTTCAACTTGCAGAAGCTGTGCAGCTAGACTTTTCATCTGCGCTAGTTCAATCAAGGTCTTTCTAAAACCCATTTCCTTGTTCCCCTGCCTGTTAAGATGGAGCATGCAGAGCAGGAATTAACCTTTTCTCAGTGATTAGGTTAATCTTGTAACCTGCTCTGGTGATGCGCTGTAATTACCCTGTGGAGAAGGGAAGGGCTCCTTGCTATTTCCTTAGCATTCCCAAGTTGGCTTCTTCTTTTGAATCTTTTCCTTTCCTCAAGTCAGCTTTCTGGTGTCTTGGACATAAATGCTCCCTCTGATTTATCAGCTTCTAGTAACTCATGTGGAAGACGGATGAAAACATTATTGCTGTTAGCAGTATTTAAAGGAAGAACTTAGGATTCTTTGCTGGATTTTCTAAGTTAGGTGCCTGGGACAGGCAAATGGGGCTTCCTCTCTGGAGCCTCCTCCTCTTTCAGTGTCCTTGGCTCTGTAATGCCGAACCTCTGCCTGGTAGATTTCTTCCTGCTCCTCATACATAGTCATCAGGCATTGTGGCCGTTCATTGCCTTTAGAGCCAAAGTCATTTTCTCTGCCTACTGTCTTCTCACCTAAGGACAGGTTGTCAGCAGCCTGCTGCTTTCTCAGCCTTCTACTTTCTCAGCTTTGCCCTGTGCAGATGCCCTGCCCCACCATTGAATAGTTGCTCTAAAGCACAGTTGTTCTTTCTGGATGGAGAGTGCTGGACCCCTTTGCGTACCACGTCAACTCCCTCCCATTTTAGCTCTTCCTTTAGCCTCCTCTCTCCTTCCCAGGCTCACAAGTTATCACAGGGGCCTGGTCGTGAGTAAATGTGTGTTTCATAGCCCTGCCAGCTTTTCTGACTCCTATCCTTACAGGATATCCCTATCATGCTTGCTGCTCCCTTTCCTGAATGCTACTGCCTATCCCAAATTCGGCTCCACCCTTTGTCACTCCCTGTTAGCCCCCACTTCCTAGCTCAGCTGACGTGGCATTCACTTCCTCCAGCCTTGTCTCCCTCTTGGGTTGCATTCGGTACTCTTCTGAGGTTCCTTTGCCTGTCTTCACACACTGTGGGCTTGAGGACAGGGATTGACAGCCACAGTGACTTCCATGCCCTTTATTCCTGTGCTCTTGGTTGTACAGCATAGAGCAGTAGGCAGCGATGGCAAGACTGAGTTTCCATCCACCGTTTACTAGCTCAGTGGTCTTGGATAGGTTATTTCATCGTTCTCTTCCACAATGTCCTTATTGAGAAAGTGTAGCTAACAATAGGGCTTACCTCATAGTGCTGTTGAGAGGATCTGATGATTCAAGTGTTTCTAGCAGTGCCTGGTACAGGGTAAGCATTCGCCATGCCTTAGCAGCTATTGCAGTAATCATTATTCTTGCCAGCATCCCCAGCATCAGGCACGGTGCCTAGAGAAAAAGTGTGTTCTTAGTAAATTTTTGCTGGGTTGGATGGAGGAAAGCTTGGTGTGTTTGTTTTGGCTTCACACCAGCCTTTCTTGCTTGCCTCTCAACCTTGGCAGGGTTCCAAGGAGATGAGCCATCACAGATGCACCCTCAAGGTTTGGGGAGGTCACACACAGAGCATCTTTTGAGGGATTGGCATAAGTAGGAAAAGAAGGGGTCTTAAATCTACAGAGAGGAGGCTGCTCTGGATCTGCAAGTGGCGGAGGACCCACTTCTAAAAGAGCTGAGATCTCGGTGTATTTTGACCTCTTCTCTCCATCTGTTCCAGGCTTTAGTTTAGTTCTCAGATGAAGCTTCTGAAACATCTCATCCCGTACCACATGCAGTGATCTGGAAGTTAGGGCAGAAACAGCATTCGTGGTTCTCATTGCAGAAGGGAACTGCTGTTTCATTATTGCCTGCTATGTGTGCTCCGTTAGACGGGATGCTGCTGGGAGAGGGCCTGGCGAGATGCCCATCTGTCCTACCCAGGATTGGAGTCTTCTGTTTTGTGTCAGTCCTGTCTGTGATTCTAAAACTGAGAACTGGAAGGGTATGGGGCTGATAGAGATGGCTTTCCTTCTCCCAGGAGCCTAGGCGGTTGGAGAATGGAACATGGGTGTGAACTTCCCGCTCTCTCGCTGAGAGGGCAGAGGACCCCGTGCGTACCACCTTAGCTTCTTCTAGCAATGCCTCCTAAAGATTTGTGTTTTCCAAATTTACCAAGAGAGCTAAACAGTGCAACATAGATAACCGCGTAAATGCTCAGCGAGCTTTTTAATTGGTTTTATTGATTCCTTCTCCCTTTTCCAGATTGTTTTTATTAGTAAACTAGGTTGTTTTCATTAGTAAACTGGCAAATCATCTAGTTTAAGTGTCTCTTTTGGGTCGAGGACTGCGGCTCACATAGTCTGTAGGAGTCAGAACGAGAAGGTGAACACTCCCCATTCACAGCACACCCGTGTAGCTAACCTGTGAGGATATCTTGAGCAACACAGACATGAGAGGGCTCAAGGTTTGTATCTGTCTCCATCTTAGACAGCACACCCCCTGACTCTGGATTGGCTTCCTTAGTCTCTGCCTATGGATCTCACACTTGACTGTTGGAAAACAGCCCCCCCCGGACTCAGCACTTCCACCTTGGTGACCCATTCTATGTGGTTGCTAAGGACCACTCTGGTGCTTCTTGAAAAGAAAACAGGGCCAGAGGTGTTTCAAGCGAGCCTATTTGTGCGCTCATCAGTATCAATGAATTGCAGGCAGCGTTCTCAGGAAGGTACTTAGGATTGCTGAGTGCTTTCCTTTACGTTTTTATTTCATTATTTTTATAAGGTGCACGTGTGCATCTATGTGTGGGTATATGCAGGTGTGAGGGCAGTTGCCTCTAGAACCCAGAGGAGGCTGTTGGATCCACTGGAGTTACAAGTGGGTTGTAAGGCATGGCTGCTGATGGCTGCATTCAGGCTCCTCTGTGAGAGTAGTACGCTCTTAACCTGGGAGCCATCTTGGAAACGTAAGCCACCCTCTGGGACCAAGTTACTTTTGTTTTGGGGGTGTTTTTTTCCCTTACCTGTAAAATGAAGGAGTTGGGTTAAGCCTGTGAGAGTTCATCAGCATGAAACTTTTCTGATCAGTGAAATTCAAGAGCTTGTGCTTTGGGCTTCTGTGGCTCTTGAGTATCTAGTTCAAGGCTAATGCGTGTTCTATTTTTTCCGTTTGGATGAGAAAGACTCTTGTCAAGTAAAGTACAGAAGTAATGTTTGGAGACCTTGAGTCAGAAAGACTTTAATGGCTTTTTATTCTTAGCACCAGAGCACCTAAGCTCTTAGGATAGCCTTTCTCTTAATTCAGGGCTGCATGTACTTAGCTAGCTTGTTTTGGCTGCCTAATAATTAAGACACCTTGTTTCGTTACAAGACAGTTCCTCAATTCTCTTAGTCCAAGTTTTCCTACAAAATTTTTCTGAATATGTGCAGTTTTTGACTATGTTCTTGTTGAGACCAAACAGCTCATCCTATCTGGCAACAATGGATACAGTTTCCTTTTATTGTAAATAGTCTAATAAACAGCCAGAGGTCATTGTGTTTAGATTTTGTTATGCCTTCTAGAAATAGATTCATGTCAGACTAGAATGATGTCAGTGGCCAAACAGATCTTCTACTCACACCTTGGTTTTCAGACTGTCTGTGACATCGTCCTGAGATCCATGGGCCAGACTCTGCTGTCTCCCACACTAGCAATGCTTGATGTCAGCCCCAGACTCATGGGGGACACCGAAACTCTGGGAGAACAGCAGGATGGGCTCTGTGGAAACAGGTGTCAGTGTCCAACTGCTTGTGGTGCCACTTGGCAGATCAGCTCTAATTGTAGCTGAAAATAGTTTTGTGAATGTAATCACTTGCTTATAACAGGAACAAGTGTATTTTAAAAATACAGAATCACACTTTAGATACATCATAGACCACATGCTTAGCGTGTACAAAGCATGTTCAATCCCTGTCATCCTGTCCCTCATCCCCCTAACAAGACGTTTTGTAAGCTGGCCTAGTGAAACACTGCATAAACTTAGGAATACGATTATATATTATAGATTAATCATTGTATATACAGACAAATATTAGAATCCGAAGCTAGTTTTATAAAGCTGGAGGCCTCCCAGATGGATAATGTTACTTAAATTTACTAAAATTCTGGCAGCCGTATTTTGAGCTTTAAGTATTTGATATTTTTCTTGAAGTCTTTAATATTCAGTTGGGTATAATCCAGTCTGTATAAAGCACTATGCTATTGCCATTATTACTGCCATTGGTGAGAAACTGACTTCCAAGCTAAGAGATGTTCTGTTTTCTTACACACGTGTTTAAGTGTCAAAACTTCATCAGTGGCTTCTGTTAAAGTTATATGTTACATGTCATTATTTTCCAAAAGTTTTTGTTTCAGTTGCATCAAAAATAAGTCGCAAACTTTAATTTATTGCAAACATGTATTGTTTCTCACAGAATCTTAGGTCTACAGGAAAACCTAAGTTACTGCTTCCCTTTCTTTCTTTGTAGCAGATTCTTAGCTGAGCTAACCTGAATTAAAAAATAATAATAAAAGTGTATGTTTCATTTTGAACATTCTCTTGGAAAGTAGATGATAGCAAAATATACTTTTCAGTTAGAGCTGTGATTAAAAATACAGCTTTTGTTCTTAAAGGTTTCATTCCTCCCGCCAAAACATCAGAAAATGTTCTTTCTGCTGTAAAAAGACTTTTATTTTTGCAGTGAGTTGTGACTTACGCAATTCTTCCTGATGCCTTCCGTACCCGGTTAAAGGACACGTTACAGGCGTTATATGCTGTGATGTGGGGTCACGTTAACTTTGAAATCCTCTATTTTGTGTTAATGTGCTTCAGCTCTCCCAGGTCTTTGTGCACTTTCATTTCTTTGATCATGCACGGTTCTTTGACATTCTGTCTTTTCTCATTGTATTGAGGTTCTGTACTGGCCCTGTAGGCACGGTGTCAGGAGACAGAGAATCTTAATGGAGGACTGCGTTTGCCTAACTCTTGTCCTCACTTCTCTCCTGAAACGCTGTGATACCCCCACCCATCTTCACCCTCTCTTATCCTCTCCATCCGTGCAACTCCCCACAGGAGACGTGTTCATTCGCCTGCCCAGCCTTTACTACTGCCCTATGTTGCCGGGGACGTGAATGTATTCCAAAAGGGACCCGAGGAAAGACCCTTGCTTCGGTCTTTTGAATTCAGGGACTTGTGGAAATTATCTCAGAGTCTGAAGCCCCATTTTCCCCCTTTGACAGGAGCACTGTTGTTTTTATCTCACAAAGTGTCTTGGGCGTTAGATATGGTCGGGCGTGTGCAATGCCACCAGGGCTCTTATTAAATGCTTTTTTACACACGCACAATCACAAGGTTACCATAAAATGCATTTGTTGCTGTTCGGGTAGCATCAAGAGTTCCTCTCTCCATGGGCCCTGCTGCAGTGATAGTTCATGTTCTCACTGGGGGACCCTTGTCTCCCTGTGTGACATACTTCCAGGTATAGAGCACAAGGTCCACCCCAGGCAGGCACAGTTGCTGCTTTGGCTGAGAAGTGCCTCCTGCCCTAAGCAGACAACGTGTCATCACGATTCTTTGTGGCTTTTCGGGTTTTACCGAGGTGATGGTATTCAAGGAAGCTCAGAGTGCACATCTTTACCAGATGTGTGCAGCTCGTTCATAGATCTTTCTAGTGAGGTACAATTTACCAATCATGAATCATTTTAACTGTATGCAATGTTGCCTAGCAATACATGCGATGCCTGGGATCTTACCTGGTTTCCAGGGTAACAAAACTAGGTGGTTATTCCAAAGGTCAGACACTCAGGCAGCTAGGGAAAAAAAAGGTTTGTTAATCTCACACCCCCATACACAGTCAATCCAGCCAGGAGCCTCACAGTCAGACTTACCAAAATTTACTACCTTAAGAAATACTTAAGAAGTGTTTCACACAGTAGGCATACAGTGTAAAGATAAAGAGAGGTAGTGCCTGACTTTGTTGTTTCTTTCCAATGTCCTAAATTCCTTTCATTGCCCAAGGAACTCCCGTTTTATTATCCTGCAAAGGCCAGCTCAGATATTGCTGTTCTCTGAAGTTGATAAACAGAGTATGTTCTTAGTAGTCTATCCACCCTCTATTCATGGGCTGCTCTGGAGTACCCTGAATCCCTTAAAAACATACAGATTTTGTGATCACGTGGGAATAAATGGCTGGGAAGGGGGCTGATACTTCCATTTCCATTGGGATCTGTACTGTCAGCCTTCACCAAGAGGTCAGAACCTTATTCCTCTCTCCTGAGCTCGTCTATGCTTGCCTTTGCCTGCTGTGTGTAGTCTGTACTTCCTGCTGGAGTACCTTCAAAAGGAAGAGACTGTATATGTGTGCTTTGGTGTCATCTATCAGGCCAGCATATTGCCCAGCTCATAGCGAGTTTTCAGAGACGAATGTTGAAAGAGTCACCTGTCAGTACCCTCTTAGGCTCAGCAGTCAAAATGATGACAGTGGGAGCCCATTTGAGTCAGCATTCCAATTCTTAGCTTTGTCCTGCGAGTTATAAATTAAATGGCTTCCCTCTGCCAATCTGTCATTGCCTTTTTCTGATACTCGTAGATGATGAGGAGAATGTAAGAAAAATGTCTGACATGGTGGTAAGGGATCGTTGAAAAAAATGAAAAATTGGGTTAATAGAAATGATATAATCATATCTTAAATATTTTGACTGATCTTCCAAATACACATTAATTTATTTGTACTTTACTAGTGAGAGAAACAGCAGATGTCACCTTAAGCAAAAGATCAAGGTCAATAACACCAGGGATAAGCTATGCTGGTCTAGAGTGCTGTGACATGGTGTTATGAGAAGGACCCCTCTTCTCTAGAGTGCTTTTCCCAGCTTGTGACCCAGACTAATCTAGACACGACATCAGAGACCGAGTAAGAGGTGTGTATACTGAGACATACACTTAGGAACTGCCAGAGACCAGGGGAGACCTGAATTACATGATAACTAAATACCGTATGTACCTTGTGTTATTGTACCCTGGAACTTAAACAACAAAACAAAATCAACCAACCAACCAACCAAACCCAAAACCCAAAAGGACTTTGGTGGAAAAAAACTGGTGAAATCCAGATAAAGCCTATAGCATTGACAACTGGGCCACATACCCAGGACATTGTTAGGAGAATGTGGGGGAAGCACATATGGGAACATAGATTGTATATGGTCTCTGCAACCTTTTTGTTCATCAAAAGTATTCAAAAACAAAAGGTTTATTCAAATAGAGAAGTGAAAGAAATCACAGAGGAAAGTATTAATTTATTAAATATTGACAAACTAAATTTAAAAAGAAAATAGCTCTTAAAATATTTGTAACAATTGATAGTAAAAGGAGTATATTCTTATTCTGGAGTATATATTGATATCTTAAAAATAGTTATTGATCAATATCGCCAGAAGAAGTGTAGTGATCAATAAATGTAAAAAATCGATCTTTATCTCACTAGTAATTTAAGAGTTGCTAATTAAAGGAGCATTAGATAGGCTTTTAGCTCGTTACTTGGGTGAAGATGGAAAAAAGACAGTGTTTAATTAACAAGAGGCTAACCCTATGTGAGGAGAAGCTTACTAAGTGAGTATTGGTGCTTCATTGTCTCTTACTTGCAAGATGATTTCTCCCAAGGAATGATCAGATTTGTATACAGATCTCCCAACAGGAGCATTCATCTCAGGGTTATTGATTAAAAAGAACTCAAGACAATATCTGACAGTGAGGGAATGAACTGGAGAGTTTTGACATCCCTAAAGCCTGCTGTGGAGTCACTGGGAATCAGGGTGAAGAAAATGAAAACAAGGTTCAGCCAGTGTCTCCCGTCAGTCTCTATGTGTGTCTTCTTGGGGCATGTGTCTCCCATGCACGCATGCATGCAGTGTCTGTGTGTGTCTTCTCAGGGCACAGGCCTTCCATGTGTGTGCGTAGTGTCTGTGGAAGGATGGTAATGAAAGCTCTGCCATGGTAGAGTAACTGACTTGTGAGTAGTGAGCAAAGGGGACTTCTGCCTTCTGTACGCCTGTTTGCATTTTGTAAAACATTGTCTATACAGAGCATATATTATGTTCATAATTGGGGGGAAATTGACGCGGCGAGCATGTGGCTAATGAGCTCCTTTCATCTTTCATGCTGCTTTAATTAAGAAAACATTGCATTTTGTACAGTGGAAAAAAATACTGTTTTCCTCCTTCCACTAGGAAGCTCCTCAGGGTGCTCCCTCTGCCGAGTGAGAACTGGGCCGCTCTGGTTGGAGAATGGTGCTGTCATCCTGATCCCTTTGCTAATAAGCCTCTTCACCCTCGAGAAAATGACTGTTTTCTTGGGGACTCTTTCTTCTTGGTGAATTTGAGAAGCGATGTGGAACAGGTAAGAGTTGTAGAGAATTTCTTTTCAAAGTACATGCAAACTTAGAGGTTTTGATTTAGATACCAATTTCTGTGCTTTTAATTCAGGGTTTGTTGAAGAGATTGTTCTAAAAGCCCAAATTTGTTATTTTTAACTGCTTCTATTCTCAAGCCCTTTTGATAGAGGAAGAGCCTTAAACTCAAGCAGCCAGTAGGGTCTGGAAGAACAAGAGACTTACGCATGCACGGACTTGGAAGTGCTGCTATTTCACACACCGAATGCCCTGCTTTCAGGCAACACCCTATAACCTGTGCGTTTTAATCTCAACAGTCTTAGCAAAAGTGCAGGGGAGTTAGCCCAGGATATCCACTTTGACATTAGATCCAGGTGTCTTACTGTGCTTGCCCAAGGTCTAGGCTTCCACTGATGTTGGAAAAGCAGATGCCGTCAGAAAAAAAGGAAACGGAGCCAGCAAGTGGGTCTGAGTAGCAGGGTGGTGTCACGTACTCTGCTTAGGTAGCTGGTTTTAAGGAGAAGGCAGCTTCCTCTCACCCCTAAAACAAGTGGTTTACTCCATAAGAAGAAATCAACAGGTGTTGGCATGGACCTTGTAAGGAGTCCTCCCCGACAAGGCCAGGCAATAGAGATGTAGTTTAAAATATCGAGAAAATCACTGCCCTACAGCCTTTATTTCAGCAGTGATCATGACCGGCGGGAAGGGTAGCCATTGCACTTTAAGTTTTAGTTGGAACTCAGCTAACTTTTTTGTAAAAGCTGAAGTGTGTGGTGGCTGGGCAGCTTGAGGACGCAAGCTAGCGTAAAGGACATTGTGAGGAAGATGAAGGGAGGTGACAGGTACCTAGGCCGCTATTGCTTAGGTGTTCTTAGTGCCTCATCTTGCCCTAGAAAGAAATCCTTTTGTCTGAGTCACTGTGGAGTACTTACGCATTCTGTATTTTTAACAGACGAGTCCAAGAAGTTAGTATAGAATAATGTCATAGTTAAAATTAAATTTGTATTTTCATCTAAGTTTGGATACTTGGTGTCATATTTTTTTTTATTTTTATTTTTTTATAATTAAACCTTCTAACTTACAAAGTATTTGAAGGTTTGAGTGGAAAAACAATGGAGAAAGATTAAGTGAAAGAAACCATGTTTCCCCTCTTAGAGAAGCTGTGCCAAAACCTGTGCCACTTTCACAGTTGTCACTGATACTAGACCCTTTTAAAGAAGTTCTTGTCCTAGTAAACGATAGTCCTGTGCTCTGTATGTTAAGGGAAGAGTGCTGTATTTAGACAGTATAGTTTTTGCTATTAGGGGACTGTGGGAAGTCTCTGTCGTGACAAGCTGCTGTTGACGAGATTGTTTTCAAGCTGGTCTAGATGGAAGTTGCACTTTAATTGCATATTGTAGCAGTTGAAAGAGTATGCCTGTGACCAAAATAGTAACATAAATTTGGAGCCACTGCTTAAACACTGCTTTTGAGGCTCCGGTGGGAACAAGGCTGCACTGTGCTATTGAAAACCTATTCCTCATATCACCCGGCCTAGCCATCTAGCTGGGTTTGGAAATGTCACATGGTGACATGGGATTCTAATGGTATCTCTTGGGAAACATAGTTTTGTGTGTGTCTGTGAATATGAGACAATATCAAGGGTCCTTAGAAACTGAAACAGCACAAAAGAAAATAAGATCACGGACAGGACGCTAATCCAGCTCTCTGAGCAGCACTGCCATCACTCAGATATATCGATTTAATTAGTCCCCAACAATGTCTCTCTTTGAGGTTTGCTCTGCACAGTTCCCACAGTGTTAGTCAGTTTCATTACACAACTTGTTTTATTAGTTTCTTGAAGCATAGCTAGAGAAAAATGCCTTCCAAAGCGGAGCTTCTCCGTAAGCAGAATTAACATGCTAGAGTATTTTAATTAAAAAGATTGGAGTTTGGAAACAGCACGGCGAGCCTCGCGTGCTTTCGTTCCTCCATACCTTCCTGTATTTACAGCGTTGTGTGTCTGCCTCACCAATGCAGCAGCACGTGCCTCCTACTTTCAAAAGCGCTCTGCTGAGGACAGTATTGTGATTCACTATTTTCTGGGCATCCCAACATAGTCAATATTTTACATCTTATAATAAGATAATAAAGATGGACCTCAGTCTTCCATAAAAGTCATAATGTGATTCCAAATTTAGGAAATGTGAACTGAGCATGGGTGTTATTATGCTTATGGTCCTAGCCACACTGGAGAGAGACCCAGATAGGAGGATGTCTGAGTTCAAGAGTTGAAGACCAGCCTGAGGGACATAATAAGACCTCGTCTTGCAAAAACAACAAAGATTTAGACAGTACAGTCAGACTTCAGTTTATTTTTTAAAAGACTCAGAATTGAATTTGGAGTAATTAGTGCTGGAAAGTATGCCCAAGACCAACTCACTCTTTCTTTCTCTCTCTTTCTTTCTTTCTTTCTTTCTTTCTTTCTTTCTTTCTTTCTTTCT